GCCACACTGGGTGCTGTAAATGAAAGCATACACTCAGAGTTTAACTATAAAGGGTGTTGTGGATTAAGAGGTTTGTGACAGTATTACTGTTTGTTCTTCATAGCTGCTGAATGTTGTGTGAAGAGTCATTTGTTCTCTCATTAAGCTGATATGTAACCTGGCAGCAGTTTCAACTAGGTTAACGTATGTTGCACAGACTGGAGCATTTTATAAATGACTTTAGACAAAGCCGCAGCGCTCCGCCTAACAGATATCTTTTTATTTTGTGATGCAGAAACTAAGAAATGCAAAAATCACTCTCAAAACCTTTAAAGTTATTAATCTGTAAATCTAATCTTTTAGAATTATGTAAAAGCGTCCAGGTTTACTAAGTGTCATGTAATTATTATGCACAACAAGATCAGCTAAAGAGCTTCGAAGTATTAAAAACGTTCCCTGCTTTAAATATCTTGGTATGCTTGATGATAATTTGGCTTTAAATTCCATACGAATAATCTTTAGAAAAAGCAAGAGACCAAGGGTGCGCGAGGCTATCTGTCTGTTTAGTTGCTAGGAAAGCATAAATCCAGAGCACATTCTTATGAGTTTTAGGATTTGGTAATATCATGAATGGATGTACCTTTTGGTGCTGGTATATCACGCTGCTCTGTGTTTTGTGACTAGATAAAAATCTTAAGGAAATTTAATATTTTAGATTTATTTGACATTATTTCCAGAGTGTTTGAAGCATTTAACTAGTTTCAATACACAGAGACTCTCTGGTGTCTAACAGGAAGGTTTCCAGATCTCCTGTTTCCCAAACAATAATAAAATAATATATTACATAATAGAATACATAATAAAATAGTGGCTTCAGGGTAAAAATCTTATCCATTAATCAGTGAAGGATGTGCAAATATGTCCTCTGACTAAGAACTGTGCACAGAAAGATTGTAAGCGTCTCAAGATATTAAAAGCAAGTTAGAAACAAAACTATGAACACAAAAGTCAGACCCTTCCTGTAGGTTAGGCCAGGGGTCTGCAACCAGTGGCTCTGGAGCCACATGTAGGCATTCTATAATGGCTCCTCATCACCTTGGCAAAAATGATTAGAGCAAACTAATCTTTTAGGTATTTATTCATTTTCCTTTCATAAAAGCTTTTCCCTACTTTTTAAACCTACTATCTAAAAGAAATTGTGGTTGTTTAAAGACTTGATTGATTGATTGATTGATTGATTGATTGATTGATTGATTGATTGATTGATTGATTGGTTGATTGATTGATTGATTGATTGATTGGTTGATTGATTGATTGATTGATTGATTGATTGATTGATTGGTTGATTGGTTGGTTGATTGATTGATTGATTGATTGATTGATTGATTGATTGATTGATTGATTGATTGATTGATTGATTGATTGATTGATTGATTGATGTCATAGTGGAGAAATGTACTCATTATATCAGCTCAAATATTGGATATAAGGTGCATGGATATAAACAGTATATACATTGTGTCCACATATGACAGCTTTTTCTTTTTTATAGTAGGATTATTATACAGGGTTATTGCACAGATGAGAAAATATCCAGTAGAATTTATTAAACATACGTTTGTTTCTGTTGTTCTTTTGTTTTTTGCTTGGTGTGAGGGATTGCCTTCGATTCAATGAGCCAAATCAATCAGCTGGTTTTCCTTAGATAGAAAACTGAACCAATCTGACTGTATTATCTGGTTGAATTGTCTCTGTAAAGTGCCTTGAGATGATGTGTGTTGTGAATTGGCGCTTTATAAATAAACCGAATTGAACTGAATGTAACTTTTTTAAAGGTTTTGTAATGTTCGCAGCTCTAGGTGACTTTTATGAGCTGTGCTGAAGTCAAAAACGTTGCTTTAATTGTAAAGGTTGCACACCGCTGGGTTATGCATTCCCCTACTCTGATGAAATAGCCTCAGAGTAGCCAACTGCGCTCTTCATTTCACAACTTAATGTTCAGAAATTTACAATTAGCTGCAGTTAAACTAAAACTGTGCCCTCATTAAAATTTACTTTTACTCTGTATAGAAATAGATATCCTAGATATCTCCAGCAGGGAGCAAATAATAATTCTAGATCCATACTTTCATCTAACTATGCAGTCATCATAACTTCCTAGTCATACTGTTTGTTAAAGATGTGACTTTCTTTTACTTTATCATTGAAAAAGGCTTTTACTTACATTCACAAAAACGCAATGTAATATTATTAAGAAACTCAGTTATCGATACGTCATTTATAGAAATGTATTTATGCAACAGCGATTAAGAGCTTCCGTGTAATTTAATTGTTTCAGATCCTTAAAACGGTCATAGAATGATTGGTGCTGGTCCTTAAGGTCTCTGAATAGGGTGAGTAACATTGTTTGGGCTGAAAATGGCATATTTGCTGTTCTATGAGCTCTAATGCAAGCCTGGTTAAAAGCCCTAGAATGAAACGAAATGGTTTTCTCCTTTTATGGTATGATAATGAATATTTAGATGAGCTGTGCGCTGATTGGTTGATTTACAACGAGCGAAGCTGCTGAGCAAAGACACATCATAGCAACAACTACTCACTCACTGAAACATCAAATTGTTGATACGGTAGGGGGACCAGACGTCCCCTTTTTCCCGGACATGTCCTACTTTTCATGCCTAAAAAATCTCCGGGGGGAATTTTGAAATCGTCTGGGATTTTGGTCGACTACAGTGCAGCACATAGCCGAAACAGTTAGCCAGCGAGGACGGAGCGACCGAACCCGACCCGGTGATGGTAGCCTGGACAACGGCGGCCCTGTGCTTCCCAACAGCCCAACAGCATTTGGATTCTCCCGTTTTATGGTGAAGGTTTAGAATAGTGAGATTTGCAGAGATAAGAGGCGTTGATGGGTTTGAACTTCTCTGCACGTCCATTTCACCCACTGAACTATAGTCATTCATCTATGACAATGTAAACTCGGTTTTGCATTCTATGACCAATTTAAACATGGATTCAATTATTACAGATGATCTTTGAAGGCAGTTAAACATGTTATGTTATTTAGCATATTAGAATAATTCTTTTGAAATATTTATGCACCATTTATTAGCTTCTAATTGCAAACATTTTGGAAAGTCATCAATGGCTTTAAAAGCATCCAATGCATTAATATATTTGTGGTTTTATTGTGACAAAAACAGAACAAGTTAAAGTAATTTGAATACTTTCAAAAAGCCCTTTAGGTGAAATCATAGAGACTAAAGATCTTAAATGATTTTTATCAAGGATGATAACTAATAATCATTAGCATGACACAAGAAAATCTTTGATTTAAGGTGACTGTAATAACTTCTAATGTGATGAAAATGTCTATTTGACACTGACTGGTTGGTATATAAGGGATGTAATGTTAACCCATTTCCTGTAACACCAAGAGGTTAGGGAACAGTGCCCTGTTGTGATTCTTGGACGTTCTTTATTTTTCTCTAAGTCAGTATTATAAACACCCCTATTACAGTTGGGACTGCTCGGACCTCAGATCTGTGATATTTAACATGTTGGATTATCTTGGCTTGATATCCTAAGGGTCGATATCCTAGTCTCGTGTTCCCTGAGGATAAATATAAATGTGACGTGTAGCCAATCAGAAACTCAGGTGATGGCTTATCTTGAGGAAAAACCCAACTCCATAGCAAAGTGTTGAAAGTACTGATCCTTTTTCCGTTTATCTTTTTGTTTTTGTAATTTTTTTTCTCAGTTAAAATTAGAACACAAAATATCTCCACTGCTTCTTCCTCAAGGGTCCTTTTTATTTACTCTAAAATCAATGCTTGATCCCGAGAGGTTTTGTGAGATTTCCTGTCTAACATCTGAATTAAAGTAAAATCTCTGTGTGCTGTGTCTTGCAGACAATGTAACTGTGCGCCAAACACTGTAGGACTAAACCTGTAGTATCTGCAATTTTTCTTAATTGACAATTTCTATGTGAACCAGGCATCAGTTTAACCATGTGTTATTTTTTTTATTCTATTTGGATTCATTTCTCTAACATCAGTTAAATGAAAGGCTATTTTCTAGTTCAGCTTCCTTTTCATAAATGATTAGCATCCCCATATTCAGCCTTCTTCTATGGGCTCACTGGTTTTCATCGTTCCTAGCTGGTTTCTTCCATTACGATATCCGTTACACTGTCTATGTGCCATGTCCTGTTCAAGACTTGTCGGTTTCATTTCTTATTTTAACCTACATGCCGCTCATTTTGACTTTTTGTCCTCATTTTGGTCCAAGTTCAAACTTATAAAATTTTCCATGCAGCTACTAACAACATGCAGCAAAAAAAATGACTGCGATCAAAGGAAAACAGTTAAATTTTTTGAGCAGATATGCTGAATTTTAGGAAGAATATTACTTATTCTTTTACATTGTTTTACTTAATAATACATTTCTTTTTGTATGGATATAATGTATTCTTAAATAAGGTTTGTTTCTGTCATGTTGCTTGACTGAATGCTGTCTTAGATTATTAGTATTTCCATTTCCCGGTGGGAAGGTTCCTACCTTGGCTTTTCTTTTGGTATTTTATTCATTATTTTTGTTCCTCTTAAAGGGCAATTGAACCCTTGCAAAGCTAATCTGAGATCTGATTTTTTCTGGTTTCAATGTGTACATGTGGATGGTTTCTTAATCTGTGGACTGCAGAGCCACAGATTACCCTGTTTCCCGTCCAGTGATCCATTGAACTCGGTAAATACCTATTGAGCAATAAGCTCAAAGTAAATCTAAAAAAAAAAAAACACACTTTCATTCAAATATAAAATTTATCATTTCAGTAACCACTGTATTTCAGCGCAATACTTCTCCAGACAAATTAGTCAATCATGCAATATTTAGACTTGGAATCACTGTGAAATCTCTTCACCCAGAACTTCCTGTTCATTGTTTCTTCATAAGCCTCACATGATATGGAAAATGGACAAAGACGAACAACTGAAAGGTAAATATTCAGCCGGCAGACTCACGCTTGTGGTTGCTCTTGCGTTGAAAGGGAAGCGTGTGTCTCTCTGAGTCCTCTTCTCCCTCCTCATCTGCCAGATGTGTGTGAGTGTAATGGTAGCTCAGCCCTGGACGGTTCTTATATCTCTTGCCACAGACTGCAATACACACATTTGTTTTATGGTGACAATGTTATCAAAACTTTTGCAAATAGAAAAAAAATTCTACAATTTCATTTCTTATTAAACAGCATAAACTTCTTGCTTTGTTAAATGAATTCCGACTGTTTAGCCAAAGTTACTTGTTGTCTTTCTTTTCTTTCTTTTTTATTTTCATTGCATATTTATCAGTGGAATCACATACAGATGAAAATACGAATAAATGAAAATGAAGTTTGTTTTTGTTCAAAAGCAAAAACATGGAGAATGGCATTATACAATTTACAGTAACTAGGGGCCTTGTTACTGTAAGTGGGCTTTTACATCTCACACCATAAGATCTTACAAAAAGAAAATTATAATCATCAAAATTCTTACCAAAGAGATTTTTTTTCCCCATATACCCATAAAGCAGGAAGCTATTTTACCAGTTTAAAGCGAGATGCTGATGTATTTGTGTTTGACACTCATTCTGAAGTGCTAAGGAGGTATTTATGTGTCGACAGAGTCAGCTGATAAAGCTTGCTCACCATCTGGCCAACATCACTCAGTTAAAGTGGCCTCCACCATTTTAACCCTTTAAAGCCCAATCCAAGAATAAAACAAAATAGAAAATAACTTTTTTTGGTTTGAAGTCCTTATTTGGCCTTTTAACAAAATATGTAAAAAGAAAAAACAGAAATACATTTTTGATATTAATAATTTATTACTATGCGATAAGTCAAGATAATTTTTTGTGTAGTCTTCTACTGGCCGTTATCAGGTATATCTGATTAAGTACAATAGGATTTTGAGCAAAGTTTTTACCATTAAATTATGTAAAAGGTGTCAAATGCAAAACATTTCAGAAACCGTATGTATCAAATACGATACATTTGGCATTATAGGGTTAAAGTCTTTGGTTGGCCGCATTTTGGACATTTGAGACAAAATAGAAATGCTGACAGGATGAAACATATGATTTATGTGCAAAGAGGATAGAAAACTGTCTGTTAGTAGCCAACAGCAGCAGCTGTGGTATCTGACTTTGCTAATATGATTAACTTCACTTCTTACAGGCACTTGTTGTGAAGTTACTTTAAATTTGAAACCTTTTATTTGTATTTTACTACTACTAACATAAACATAACGTATGCTGGTGAAGATTCTCTGTCATCCAGGTCATAGTCGCCATCTATGTTAAGAACCAACCTTAAACAGAGGGGGTGGACTCAGGTTTCAGCTTTCAAAAACCTTAAATGCAGCATTTGAGTTGATCCCTTCCAGCTATCAGCGCAGCCCCAGCCTCCGTAGAGGAGAGCTGATGACCTCGCATATTCAGCCAAGCCAACAATCCCCTTTATACACCGACCTTTCAGACACTTAGATCGGTATGGTGCATTGCAGGCTAACAAAAGAAGCCAAACGACCACCATTCCAAAAGTGTGGACCCCTTCGTCCGTCTCAATTTGCATCTTTTCAAAACAAAAACAAGACTTTGTTGGACTACTGTATGAAACCTCAAACTCTACACTATTCCTGACATTTTGAATTGAAAAAGCTTCCTGGATGGGAAGCGAAACGTCCTAAAACTTTGAAACAAAGTCCAGTGGACTGTTTTTAATTTCCCTGTTTTTGGTACACATAATGTAGTTATATTCACTTCATCTAAGTTCATACATGCTCATGCTGACCACACACACACCCACGTGCATTTATGTCAAGGGGGATTTCCAAGTCTGCTTTTTTGGACAAGTTTAACACCTTTTCACCTTACATGACCACAAAATATTTTCTTGTCCCAAACAGGCTCTATGTACGACTCCACTACTTCCAAAACATCAGCCAGCTTCTTTGTTTGCTGTCTTTCATTACTGGACAAACCGATTAGTCCAGGTGTGTCTGACCTCAGTAACGATTTTGTTGTTTAAGTATTTATAAATATTTAAAAACCATTACTGTCCCAGTTTCCTAATCTAATCATAATGAAATCTATTTCTTTTTATCTACGAGCTGAAAAGGTCCCTAGATCTGATTTCAGAAGTCACCTTACTGTACCCCGATTGACCAGATGTCCCAGTTTGTTCGTGACTTTGCCGCATGTTTTTACTTCTCTTCTGCTGTCCCACAAATCAAAACAATGTCCCAGATTTTACTGATTTAAATTAAATGCTCTTAGGATATGGATGCTAAAATAGAACAGAAAACAGATTTTAATGCAAAATTTGACAAAACTCAAAGGAATGTGAAATGGGTGATGCAGAGAAAAGTGATTATCAGAGAGCTTTTTGTTAACTTTACTCAAGTTATTTTTCCAGTTTGATATGAGGGGATGTTAAGCAACACTGTAAAAGGGAGTTGCTAAAGAAAAACACAGCTGAAAAAGCATTGCTTATTTTTTTCTTTTAAAGAGATCTGGAAACGTTACCTTTACCAAAATAAGTGAGCATTTGATCAGCAATTGTTAAAGATATAACATACAGTATACAGTCGAATCAAATGCAAATTTCACTTAGAGATTTATTAATCATTAACTCCTTTATGAAAATACAACTTTATTCTTTCTTGGACTTTTTTCCATCAGCACAACCTTCAAATAAGAAATCCATCCAACTCATTGAATAAGGAATAAAAAGCCTGGACTCAATCGTTCTACACGGTTTAAAGATTTTTAAAAGCTTTAGACTATATGTGAAAACAGAGGAGAGTAATTATGTCAGGTTTCTGTTATGTTTTTCTTTTGAGTATCCAGTTTTGCATTGCTCCTTGTTTTCTAGTTTTAGTGGGTTAATTCTTAGTTTATTGAGTTCTTTGATTCTTTTCTCAGATACTGTCTTACTCTTGGTTCTGTTATATTTTCTTTTTAGTGTTCAGTCTTGCTTTACTCCTTTTTTTTTCTAGTGTTAGTGGTTTTATTTTTATTTTGGTGTGTTCTTTTTTTTCCAGTTTCTGTCCTAGTTTGGGTTCTGTTATGTTTTCTTTTGAGTGTTTAGATAGATAGATAGATAGATAGATAAACTTTATTCCGGACTCATGGTCCAATAAATACATACATAAAAATAAAATAAAAATAGTTAATGATAAAAACACAATACAAGTACCATTATCGATTAAATAGGATCTTTAAGAAGACAGGAATACCAGTGTCTCCACAGCTTAGACTGATATCGGATTGCACTACGTGTGGTATCAGTGAGTGACAAAATAATATCGTTTTCAGATGCATTTAACCTACAAATAAACTTATACATTAACTTTCGTAGAACAGCTTGTAGGGTATTAACTCTTGCTGTGACAAACATCTCACTTGCACTGGACCATCTTGGACGTTTCAAAAGTAACCGCATAGCATCATTATAGGCCACCTGCAGCCTTTGCAGGTTGACTTTTCTATAGGTAGTCCACAGGTGAGCAGTGTACAGAGAGGTACAATATGCATTAAACAGTTCCACTTTGACTTTATCAGTACATGAACCGAATTTACGTGCAAGGGTATTAGCTTGAGCATACAACAATCTACGCTGTCTGCAAATATCTTCATCGTCTGACAGATTTTCTGTGATGATGTGCCCAAGATACTTGGTTTTATTTGTTACGCCCAGCACAGTATTTGACAGCAAAAAATCTGGAAACTCAGTAGATTTATCTTCCTTACTCCTACAGATCATGATCACACTTTTAGATGGATTGTACTTTATGTCGTGTTCCAGACCATACTCAGAGCAGATGTTTAGTAGTTGCTGTAACCCAGCAGTACTAGGGCTAAATATTACTAAATCATCTGCATACATCAGGTGATTAAGTACCGAGTCACCAGCCACACAACCAGTGTGACAAGCTCTCAACTTGTGTGACAGTTCATCCAGATACAAGTTAAAGAGAACTGGGGACAAAATCCCGCCCTGCCTCACCCCATTACTAACTTTGAATGGAGCAGAGACACATTCCCCCCATTTAATCTGCAGTGTTTGCTGAGTATACCAGTACTTCAAAATACGAACAATATACTCTGGTACTCCTTTTTGTGTCAGTTTTGTGAATAGTTTTCTGTGGTTTACCCTATCAAATGCTTTTGATGCATCCAGGAAACACATAAACACTGAAGAGTTCTGCTTATTATATTTATAAGTAATCTCTTTTAGAGCATATATACACATATCTGTGCCCAGCCTAGCCTTAAAACCAAACTGGTTATCTGTAGACTTGACAACCTCTAAAATCCTGTCCAGCAGGATTGATTCAATAATTTTTGAAACTATGCTGGCCAGCGCTATCGGACGGTAATTATCAGAATTGCCAATGTTTCCAGTTTTGTCTTTAATGACGGGTACTAACAGGACACTTAAAATAGAGTCAGGTAAAAGCCCATGAATAAAAAACGATGTGAAACAAATGGAAAGTAGAGGAGCTAGCCTTGCATTTGCATACTTTAAATGTTCAGCTGAGACTCCATCCAGCCCAGTGGCTTTATTGTTAGATAATTTGGAAATAGCTTTATGAACCTCATAAGGCAGGATTTCATCTATATGGTCAACATTGTTTGCAGTGCATGGTTCACTATGGATGCAATTAAATAATCTGCTGTAATGTTGGCGCCACAGCTCCACAATGTTAGCAGTGCCTGATATGCCATCAACCGAACATGGGAGGGATGTTTTGTAGGATGTCATACCTCTAACTTCTTTCCAGAAGCCTTGGGTATTGTTACAGAAGAGTTTTCTGGCCATTGAGTCAGACCTCATTGCTCTTTCATTTTTACCAATATAACGCACAGCATACTTATATTGGGCATTGGTATACTTTTTATGTTCAAAGACAGGCCCTGATCTTGGTCTACCTGCCTCAATCCATTCCTTAGAAGCCTCTCTAGCTCTATTAAGAAATTCAACCACATGGGTATTCCAACCTGGCCTGATCTTATTTTTCTTTTTTATTTGTTTATGAAAGTGTTTAGTTGATGCAATCAAAACATTAACTATTTGATTATACACAGAACAAATGGATCTTATGTGCTCAGGATTTTTACAATTAGCATCTCTACAGCTAACTGCTTCTCTGGGCAAGTAGATATTCCTGAGTGAGTTATCTGTGCACATCGAATAAGATAGCAGATCCTCCTTTGACAGTGAGCTCCAGTCTAAGTGTAATTTGTTGCTTTCAGAGTACTTTTCTGTCATTGGTAACCACTGTAAATTTATCTGCATCCCAAATGGAATATGATCGGCAGTAGAGAATTCATACAGGATTTTCATGTCGGTCAATGAGGCATGTGCATCTGCTGTGGTTACACAGTGATCCAACCATGAGGTTGTATGCCATGCCTCACTAATATATGTAAAACTATCTGTAGGCAGCAGAACTTTCGTTGAGAGAATAAACCCACTATCCTCACAAAACTGCTTTAAATGAGTACCAAAGATAGATTTACTGTCAGTGATATCAGAGTTCATGTCACCAATAACAAACACATTAAAAAATTTGTTATCTTGTATAAAAGAGTTAATAAAAGCAAGCTTGTTAAGATACTCAGTTTCATTAGCAATGCACTCATATGGGGTGTACACATTCAGGATAACACATTCCCTGTCATGTTGTGTCAGGTGTATTGCTATGCACCAGTCCACTTCCAGTCGGATTATTTTAACACAAGGATCTAGTCTCTTATCCCATAATATTGCCACACCACCAGCAATCCGTCCTCGTATTATTCTATCCCTAATATCAACACTGGACTCCCCAGCCCCGTGGAAACGCTCATTTATAGAGTTCAGTCCTTCAAAATCCTGCTTTGTCAGAAAAGTCTCTTGTAGACACAGCACATCACATTGACTCAGAAGTTGGTCTACAACAACCCGGCGAGCTTTGTCCTCTGCACTATGGCCCAAGCGCAGGCCACGGCAGTTATATGAGAGAACTTTAAGAGCCATCTGTTCAGTTTTATTTGGCCTTGGTGCCACAAGCAAAGGAGGCCCCACTCATCTGCATCCCCGGGGGAACGGCACCACTCATACCCACAGCTCCAGCCCTCCGCGGCTCATAAAAACGCCTTACATAAGCTCCCACTGGCCAGAGATCAGGATTGTACATCTCCGCCACTTCATTACACTCAGATGAGACTTTGAAAGAGGCAAACCTGCTATTATCAGAGCTTATTTTCAGACATGTAACTTCACGACCCAGCTGGCCCTGAAGATATTCAGTTAAAGTCTGTACATCCAAGTCAGGCGAGAATTTAGAAGCAAAAACACTCACCAGTTTTGTTGTCACAGTTTTTATGTTTTTCACTGCCCCTGTGCCCACAATGGCCATACTTTTAGCATTTGTTTTCACTCCAGGTGTAGTACCGCGTAATCCCGCTTGTCGCTTTCCTCTCCTCACAACCGCGCTCCACTTTGGGGATTCCGGTGGATACGTAGTTTGACCAGAGATCTTGCTATCTCCAGGGGCAGCTTCCCCGCGCAGTACGCTCGCCCGATCCGTATCCCTTCTCCCAGCATTTGCTGCAAGCCCAGCAGCCTTAGTAACTGGCGGGTTCGCAGCGTTTGCTTCGGCACTTCTGCGCTCACCCTCCGTGCGGTCGCTGTCACTGCGTCCATCGCTTCCGTGTACGCCGCCAGCACAGGTGACAGGTGCAGATCCACACCCACCCTGGTCCTCAGGTACCGCATCCGCTGCACATTCTAGGCTGGAAACCCGGCGGTTCACATCTGTTGTGATCAGACGAAGGTCCTCACATACGTCCACCTGAAGTTTGAGTGCGCACTTCATCGCTCCAACCTCAGCGTGCAATTGCTCCATTCTCTTGAGCAGACCGCAGACATCCATGTTTGAGAAAGTAACAGGAGGCAAATCATCCAAATAATGAGAGACAAAACGTGGCACATTTTCCCCACATTCATTTAGGACTTTTAGACAGCTTTTGATGTTGTTTATGTCTTTTTGCGCTCCTTTGTGCGCTACATTTCGCTGCGTAGTAGTGCACAGGTCAAACAGTACTTTCTTGGAGGCCTCTATAGACTCGGTGTCGAAAGTGTTAATAGCCATCAGCACTATTTCATCCTGGCTCAAAGTTCTGATTTTTACAGCCAAAAAGTTCAAGAGCTCATCCTCCACAATTATTTTTCCATCCACAGTCCTGTAGATCTCAGGTTTTTGTCTAGATCGACATGAAGCTGGGACAACAGATACACACGCTGTTGCTCCGTCAGCCATCTTCCATCCAGCATTAATGACTGCTATCAGTCAGGATTTGGTCCAGAAGTTGATTGAGAGCATATGTTTAGTTTTCTTTTCTCCATGTTTTATAGTCCTAGTAATTCAATTATTTTTTTGTTAACATCCAGTCTTCCAGGTTTCTCTTTGTTGCTCTCTGCTGCCCTCTTATGTTCTCCTTCTTCCCAAGCTCTTTCCCTCTCTTGTTCTCTGCACACCTGCTCCCAGTTTACTCATTAGCCCTCTCTTTGTCTCAGTCTCCTTTAAAAATCTCCTCTCTTTAGTTCCTCTTTGCTGGGTCCTCGTCATACACCATCCAACTTTGTCTCTCTGAGCCTTCCTCCTTGAGTTTTTGATTCCCTGATGTCTCCATGGTTTTCTGGTTTGTTTTCTAATAATTTTTCTTATGTTTTGAATTTTGGATTCCTGGTTTTCTGTTTGTTTGGACTTTCTTTTTCCAGTTACTCTTCATTAAATCTACCATAAATTCACCTCTGCCTGCCTGCCTCTGCTTTTGGGTCAACTAACCATAGCCAAATCGTGACAAATTATTAGTTTTCTTAAAGAATATTGCTAAAATCATATATTGTTTCAAAGTTGCATGCATTGTTACACCCTTAATAATAACATACGAGGCATATTTATGAAGTTGTGTTCCTGTCATTTTGTTGTTGCTATTTTTAAAGCCAACAAGTTGTTAAAGAGCGTCTGTTTTCTAACAAAAGTTAATGCAAAACACTGTATAATGAATAAAGATGATAAACTCAGAGAACAAAAATAAAAGGATGCAGATACGACATTGTAAAAGACATCACGCTCACTGTCACAAACGTAAGGCTTATCTCTGTCTTCAATGGCAGGCAGCTCTTGTCTTTTCCTCATTCCTCCGACACCATAGGCCTGTAAATAAACACCCACAAAAACACACATGTAAGAACTCTCCTGAAAAGGTAGACACAAACAAAGTTTGAACTACTGCACCCCTTCACATGTGGCTTGTATGAAGGTGCATGAAAAAAAATAGGAGCATAACAGAACAGCCCTCGCTTGTGTGTTGGAGTGTCTCCTCGAACAGCCATGCACGTTTGGATTCTAATCATCTGCTCTCAGTGCAAAGCTACACATCCAGCAGGAGGGGGCTGATGACACCTAGCAGGGGAGCAACAGTTCCAATTAGCAGCCCTGGTGTCTGTGTGTGTGAGTGAGAGTCTGTGTGTATCCCTGCATGTGTGTGGGATGATTTTTCAGGAAAAATTGTTATCACTTGATTATTCTCCCATAGGATGCACAAAAAGAGTAGGGAAATACGACCTCTGTGCTCTAATCAAAGTTGTAAAAAAGAAAAGAAAAAAAAAAGAGGTCACCCCAGCATGGCTTAATCTCTTGATCTGTTTGCTTTTAATCGGGCCAAGCCCTGCGTTGTCAGAGGAAATCTCATTACATTAGCGTAGTATGCAGAGGACTGACAAATGATTACATGTCACACTGTGAGACGGAAGACTCTGATGTACTTTGGGTTAGTCCCTGGTAACACAGAGGTCACCGTTTGTTTCATCAGTGTTTAACTCTGAGTTCTGGCTGGCCTATTTCTCACTTTTCTCACATAGAACGTCAAGCGGACTTTCTGGGATAAATTGAATACAAAGAGAATAATGGAGGAAAGACGCTGATGTGCCGTTCCTGTCTTACCCGTGCTTTGGTACGGTTCTTGCGCTTCGGTACGTCTTCCTCCATGTCGTCCACTTCCAGCTCATGAGGAAAGTCCCCAACCAGCAGCTTCTTTAAAGACAAAAACAGAGGAACCATCAGAACAACAAAGAGTTTGGCGAGGATCACTTCTGTCCTCCCTGCAGCACAGGTTAGATCAACTTCCACAGAACAAAGGAATGACAAAAGGGAATTTACTGCATTTCTGCCTCTTCATCACAGGAAACATTCAGCACCCATCATATACATGGCTGCACAAAGTAAAAATGTGAGAGAAAAAAAATTCTTGCTTTTGTAACACTTGTAGATTTACACTTAAACTCAATTGTGTAATCTGGTACTTTGAAATATTCCTCTGAAATAAAAGTTTTGAGGTTATGGTTGTGTTTGTACAGTGGAACTCGGTTGACCTAATGTCTCAAGGATGGGAATCAACTCTGTATACTGGGTGCATATTCTACCTCTACAAATCAGGATTTCCTTTTTCCCAGAAGTATAAAATGAAATTTGGCCCCATTTGCAAACACCGCTGGCAGCTTGGCTGTTTGGGACAGATGTTAAAAACCATGAGAAATGTGGAGTTCACTTTATGCCACTGGGACTCAAACAGGAACCAATGGGATATAACCAGATAAAAGGAGCTTCTTGTCAATGAAAATCCACTTTCAGTTAGAAAACAAAGAATGAATATGTTGAAAAGCACCCCATGCAGACCATTAGGTGTGTTTAAAGGATCTGTGACGCTGTGGGTCTGTTTCAATGGGTGCACCTTTGGGTCTGGCAACAAGATACTTGATCAGATTCACACATTAATATCAAACCAGGAAAGAAACAAAACAAAATTTCATCCAGACCACCTGAAACTCTAAAACTAGATCCTTTAGAAAAAATCTGGAGTGGGCTCCAATCTAGAGTAAAGATCCAGGGTGTAAAGAGCTGTAGCATGTTCTTGTGTCATGTTGGCACACCAAACAACCCCTTCTGTTAATGCTATAGCTATATAGTTTTTTGGTGAACTTTGTTCTGTTTTTTTTTGTCAATGTGCAGCTCATACACCAGCGAAGAGTTCATAAACCCCAACATCATTGAGGGCCTGGTATTGATCCATATTAAACCTCTGGATCTACTACATTTCCCCAACAGAGACAAGGGTAATGGATGATGCAACAAACATGGCTCTTCAGCACATCCTGCAGCACCTGGACTCGCCTGGAACCCTCCCCAGGTCCTGTTAGTGGACTTCAGCTTTGCTTTCGCCACCACCCTCACATTCCTACTGCAGGTTAAGCATACCCAGCTCCCGACTCCACCTGCAGGTGGAGCATAGACTTGCTGACAGAAAGGATGAAGCAGGTGAAGATGGATAAAGAGGTCCTTAAATCTCCTGAGGTTTGTAGATGATACCACTCTCATTTTAGGGCGTAGGTCTTCAACAGGGGGTCCGAAACCTCTAGCGGGTCCACGGATCTACTGCATGGGGGTCGCAAAAGTTTTTGACGATAAGACTTTTTATTATATTCCCCGCTGCAATTTTTTTCCACTAACTGAAATATCTTTAAATACACATTAACATGAATTCAATACATTGTAGTAAACAGATAAATGGAGGCAGAAGATGTCTTTCATGCATCAATGCACACATTCAGCGACACACAGGAGCTCTTTCAAGCTGGGCACCGTTTCATTCACAACACCTGTCCCATCAACCAGGAAGCAGAATCAGAAATACTTTAATCATCCCAGGGCTAAATTACTTTCGTTACATTATTCCATATGTAATAGAGTGACTATAGGACCAGTTTGATAGAACACAATTTCATAGAATATACATAATTAGGGGTCCCCACTACATCTCACCATCAGTTTAGGGATCCTTGGCCTGGAAAATGTTGAAGACCCCTGTCTTAGGGGGATTAGTTTACCTAGTGGTGGAAGATCATACGTCTGGTTACCAGTCTGGGGCTCAGTGCTCTGAAACCTTCCTTCAGTCAATAAGTTCAGCCAAAGACAATGATGGTCCACTTCTACTCTGCCATCGAGTCAATCCTTTTCTTCTTCACCATCCATTACGCTGCTGCCACCAGCAGAGACAAAGGCAGTCTACAGCACATCATTCGCTTTGCACAGAAGGTGATTGGCTGTGATCTTCATATTCTTCAACTGTACACCTCCAGGACCTTGAGGTGATCAGGTATGATGGCAGCTGACCCCTCCCACCTTAAACTGTTTCAGACTTTGGCAGAAGGCTGTGGTCCAGCAGGATCAAAACCTCCCATCATTAGGACAGCTTCTTCCCATCTGCTAATAGCTACATATGCAAAGCCTGGGTTTCACACTGATACTTTCCCATCAAACAAAAACCCCAAAACATCTGAGCACATGTGTGTACAATTTAATTTTATTTGATCCTATGGTTGCTACATATATTTGATAGCTGTCATTTTTTGTGTTCCTCCATGTTCCTCTGCAGAGGTTACATTATTTTTCTTGATTCCCATGACATTCTTAAGCAAATTGTAATTTTTTATTCCGTATTATATATTTCCAGATTTTTTTATGTAAACTGTATATTTGCATACCTGTGTGTAGCACCTTACAATAAAAGAAATGACTCATACGTGTGAAACACTACATGGCAATATACCTTTTTCTGATTCCTTTTCAGAAATGTTTAATTAATGCAGATCCATAAAGAAAACAAATAGATAATTGAACTAATGGATTATCTAAAAGTGCCTTAAGACATTTCAGTAACAAATGCTTTCGGTAAGGTTTGTATAAAATAAAAGACCAAAATGTGGGAAAGCATATCATGCCTGTTTTTATAGAAGTAGAGGTTCTGTATAATGATGCTGTGGGTCTGTTTCTCTTCCTAAAGGCCTGAGGTCCTCATAAAGAGCGCAGCATCATGAACTATTTAAGATACCAGTGGATTTGAGACAAAAATAAACCTGCTAAATAGGTTTCATTCAGTCTTTGGATAAAGATCCAACCCAGAAATAGTTCAACATAAAAATAACTTTCTTTCATGGTTTTTCTACTGAACAGATTTAAGTCCTGTAGAAATCCCATAAGGTGAATTGAAACAAAGACAAGATAGATGACTTTAGAGCAAATTGTGTGAAGAGGAATGGTCAAAGATCCATTTAAATGCTCCTTCTCTGTTCATTTACTCACTTCTGTTGCATATTGTATTAAGAATACAGCAATGGCTGCAGCGACTGAATATATTGATTCATCTCAAGATGATTTTTATTTATGTATTGATTCATCTTAAAGGAGATACAGCAGATTAACTTTTCAGAATAAAAAAGCTCACAATTTAGCAAAATACAGAATGTTTTATCGTGCATTTTGCATGATTTGTATATAGAAAAATGATTTGTATATAGAAAAAACATTAAAAGATATATGCATGTATACACATGGGGTCATAGAATGCAAAACAGAGTTTACATTGTCATAGGTGAGTAACGATAGTTCAGTGGCTGAAATGGACGTACAGAGAAGATCAAACCCCAGCGACACCTCCTTTCTCTGCAAATCTCACAATTCTAGAATTCCACCATAAAACGGACAAATAAAAATGAAGCCTCGAATCAACGTCAATTCGGGGATGTTGCCTTATCTGGTTCTGGCCTGTACTTTTGTCACGCCCCAAAATTGTCATACAGACCAGCCTACTGGTTCACGGCCCAAGAACATGGATAGAGCTAGATGGAAGACACCAGTTTAGCTGTTTAGTCTACAGTTGGGTTTACATCAAGAATTACAAAGCAGGCAGTTTCTCTATTTAAAATGAGCCAGACCCACAGGCGTAAATGCAGTGTTCCAGGCTGCATGGGGAAGGGAAATGCAAGGGAAATTTTTCACGGTCTTCTGTGGATCTGAAGACTTGATGGGCATGGATTATTTTTGTCTATCAGAAGATCCCTGCAAAGTTTGATGCTCAGCTGTTCGTTTGGTCTAAGCATTTTACTGAAGACAGCTTTCAAAATCTTGGACAGTTCAAAACAGGATTTGGTAAACTTCGCTGACTGGACCTGACCGGGCATTCAAACCAAGCTATCATACTGTCACCGGGTCGGTGACAATATGCCCCGGTGGGGGGAGGCACAGGGCCGTGGCTACAGTCACCGGGTCAGGTTCGGTGGCTCGCTTCCCCCTTCGGCCGGAGTTCCCGGACCAGCCCTGGAGCTGACGGCTGGGTTCTGCTGCACTCTAGTGGACCAAAATCCCGGACGATTTTGAAATTCCCCCCGGACATTTTTTTAGGTGTGAAAAAGAGGACGTCTTGTCACCCTTCCATATCAGCATTTTAGATGTTTCAGTGAGTGAGTGCTCGTTGCTATGATGCGTCTTTGCTCAGCAGCTTCGCTTGTTGTAAGCCAACCAATCAGCACACAGCTTATCTAAATATTCATGATCATACCATAAAAGGAAGATAACCTGTCGCTTCATTCTAGGGCTTTTAACAAGGCTTGCATTAGGACTCATAGAACAGCAAAAATGCCATTTTCAGCCCAACCAATGTTACACACCCTATTCAGAGACCTTAAGGACCAGCACTAAATACCCAATAGAATCATTCTATGACACCTTTAAGATTTATTTTAGCCTATTTTTTTATATTTCCTTGTGGAGATTTGTTATAATCTCTACTGTAAGGTTATTCTTAAAGAAAGGGGCATGTTTTAGAGTCTGTGTATCATTAATCGGGGAAACTATTCGATTCACTTACCACATTAGTTGAATACAATCAATTATTCACAATTATATATGAGTAATCTGAGCATAAATATTGTTCTGTTACTCTATGTCAGAACCTCTTCTATCCACATTGTGCTATTTCTGTTCCTTTCCTTTCCCTTAAGTTCTTGCTATTTAAAAACTATGCTCCTTGCAACCTCATCTTTGCATTTAGGTCCCCAACAATGCTAAAACATAATGGCAGAAAGCAGTAAAATGAGAAAGCATGCTTCAGCTCTTTTCACTGTGTTGTAAGTTCTTGATGTCAATATTCAATTTGACCAATCTGATCAAATCAGTGAGGGGTTATTTATAGCTCAAAGTGTGCCAATGTTTTGTTTCTCCTCATTAATTGTGGTACCTTGTAGCTGCGCTGGTGCTGCAGCAATGATTGAAGTTTAATAGTACTGCAACATGAGATTAGTGATTGTTTTTATTCAAGTTGTTACGGAAATAAAACAAGAGCTGGTTGAGAGAGGAAAGAACCAACTAAATTAATTAGAATTCAGTAATTTCATTAACCCCTTATAAAAGATGTGCTCTTTATTTTCACTTTTCTATCATGGTTTTATGCGTCGATGAAAGGAAACGCCGAATTTTTTATGGTGCTAGGAGTCCGCCTAACCATTAATTTCTTTAACAGCTTCCTGCAGTTTAACTGCAGAATAAAAAAAGCAGAAAAATTAACCATGCAGAAAAACATTTAATTTTTTTTTTCTGTCTAAATGACATCACCCTAAATAACATTTTATGTTTGCAGTGCTGAACCCTCGATTAAGGAGACGCAAAAATAGGTTGCACTGATGAGAAAACGAGGGTACTTGCTCCATAAAAAGAATGATAAAACCAAACTCCGGTTGCAGACAGATCCCGTTTTAGGTCAAGCTCCAAAAACATGAGATCTTACTCCTCCTGTAAAACAAATTGATGGCCTTTTTTATTAGACTCCTGTTCGTCCTAAATACCCAGCATCTGTGTGGTGCCTCCTCCATGAATAATCTCAGCATTGTGGGTAAAAATAGTTGAGTGGCCCTATTTAGACACATGATTTTTGTCACCTCTATTACATCTTACCTTTATCTTATTGTCAGTACATTTGATACAGTTATGTAAGGCTTAGAGAACAATGGAAATGAAGGAGGAGTAAATAGTGGACATGGAGCATTAAGAGGGCAAAATGTAAAGACAGGGGAAGCCCTGGATTAGATACCTTACAGACAGCTCTAATCCTCTAAAGGCCAATGTAAGCTTTATTCTCTCAAGTGCTAATCAATTAGCCGTACAACTGAGTTCCACTGTATGTTATAAAAAAAAACCTTGAGGTGTAAATGTGTTTCTTTTACCAACAAAAACAGTTTTCTGAAAAGAGATGTTCAGACTTCTAATTGATCGGACATCTGAGGCAGATGTCTGCAGACAGAGAGCCAGCAGAGAGGGTTCAGAGCCGCATGAAGCTGTGTCAGCGCCAGAACTCGCTCTCCAAGAGACAAAGGCAATGACAAACAAGGATGCACAAGCACATAAAAAGAGACAGATGCTCTACTATGAGAGGGGAAAAAACACAAAAAAAGAGTAAAACAGGAGAAAAAGAAAAAAAAAAGGAAGGAAGGAAAAAAAGACACACCTGACATTCACTCATTGGCTCCTCTTCCTTAGTTTCCACCTTCTTGTCCAGCGTTTCCCCAGCGAGCAGCGACTCCAGCACAGGGCCGTCTGGGATGCCCCCCTCCTTCTTTAGAGAAGACTCGTAGTCTGGAGAGTCATGAGACAATAAATGTTAGTGAGCAGATCTCAAATACACATAGATGTGTACAGGGGAAACTGAACTTAGCTGGTTAAAGAAAAGTTACTTCTTTACTGTACAGGCATTAAAGAAGTATGTTTAAATCATAAAGGCAGCTTGTTTAATCTCTGTTACAAAAATATCAGCACCCTGTCAACATCAGGCAGCATTAATAAATAGGTTAATAAATTAAAAGGAAGTCTCATAAGGGAGGACGAGCCGTTTTCTTTTAATTTAAAACCACAAAGGGTGTAAACGCACATTTAAATCAATAGGTAAGATTGATCAAATCATTTTTTTCTACACTTTGAGGTTAAACACAGTGAAAAAAATATACAAACAAAATTGCTTTTCTATGAGCAAAGTTAAAAAGGTGTAGATCGATGTAAAGGAAACACTTTGTCACTTTTAGCCACTAGGGGCGCTAGACCTGTAACTTACAGGGTTAACAAACCTGAAAGCAACAGCTAATATTGCACTGTCAAGATACTATACAGTCTCTGTCTGTGTTTTGGAATCTGACCACAGAACAGCAGATTGAGAAATCATGGAGTTTCTGGTAAATAAAAGGCCATTTTCAACCCTAAACATTCAACCTAAATGAGGGAACCAATAATATCTCTGATAAGGCATATCTACTTTGTTGCCTGAAAGCAACTTTATGCTTAGCTTAACCTGCTGTAAAGCGGCCCTCAGGGTCAGATGACAATCAGAGACGGATAGATCCGACCCTCTCAGGTTACATAGAAGAGTATTAAGAAGAGTAGCCCAAACGGAGCATCAATACAGGCCAAGAAAGGAAGCTTAGGTGAAGGTTGGTACCACACTACCTCCGAAGCCAATCACCATCCAGCTGAACATCCACCCATCTCCTCCCTCACCTCAGGCTATTTCCAGTCCCATTCATCCCATGGCTTAGTCCACCACCAGTGTCCGGGACCCAGGGGGAAGAATACTCTTATCTTTTCCCTAAGCTATTCATCTGAGCGCATGTCAATTCACAGCATGAAAATCTTCTGCCGGGTTCCGAGCGCCAAATAACTTATTTCATTGTCATATAGTCATGTCAATAAAATCTTTGTAATTGCAACTTTTCGCTGTGTCAGGCTCTCTCTCTCCAGGTTGAAAATCATTTCATAAATCTTAAATAATACTGATCCACTTGCACTGGAGATCAGGAATGACGAACTTTAAAAAGTGGGTCTAAAATAAAATGTTCCCATCATGCATCATGTTTCACATATATCCAGTCTTATATGAGTTGTCAAAGAAAAGGTTAAGAAATAATGCAACCCTGCCTCTTCCCTATATGGAGCTGCACACTGCTGGTTAGCTGGCCCTCAGAAAGCTACTACACTCTTTTTAGTTCTTTGATAGAAATTGTCAATCTCAGCTGTTTGGATTTATTTACCCAAGTAAAAACACCCAATTTTCCTACAAAAACTGAGAGTCCCCTCGCTTTTATTACAGCAACCGAAGCTAAAGTTGGCAAACTATGTGTTTCCTGTCTGTTAAGCAGCTCCCTGCGTGTAAACGCCTAAAATGATGACTGATCATCCAATTGGTTTATAAAGAACAGAAGCAAAATAAGTCAAATATTCTAATAATTAACACTTGAAAAATGTAGTCCGACTTTATAAACACTTAATTTAGACAGATTTTATTTAACATTTTTCTCTAAATCTATGCATCAAAATCAAAGCGCTATAAAAGTTGTACTGATAGCATAATACATCCAACATATCACCTTAGTATAGGAAGAGGAAAGTAGGAATATCATTTTGTTTTCTTTTTAAAATAAAAACAATTAGATCCTGTTTAAAAAAATTTTTTAATTTTTAAGTAAATAGGGTTACAATGAAATTTGACTGAGTTTGATTTTTTAGTTTAAAGCTACAATTTGTGTAACAAATTCTCTTAAAGCTACAGTGTGTAATTTTCAGCGACATCTAACGTCCAGACTGCAGACCGCAGCAACATGAACATCTCCCCCCCACCGCTTCTCCCCCCCAACAGTACGGCGAGCGTTACGGGACAAAATGTCTTCCACGACGTCCGCATCACCTACCTTCTCAAGTGATGAGGTTTGTTTACATAGATCATTTTACAGATAGTATTTCATTAGTCTGTGTAGTGTATAGATTTCAGTACCGTCTCAGTTCATCTCTCTCAACTTGCCTTAGTTACTTTCGAGCGTAATGGGCGATCTCGCAATCGCTAGTTTGTTGGCTCTGCGCTGCCGTAGCGCAAAGATGTCTGCCTCCATGGCTGCGAGACCCGCTCCTATGTAATTATAAATAACGAATTCTAAGGCAACGCAAATATTAAGGTTAAGGGGCTTAGCTCGTAGATGATGATAAATAACATAGTTATGTATAATATACTACATTTCTGACTGTATATCCCTGTAATTATTACACACTGTAGCTTTAATTTTTTATGTGTTTTTAATTATGTATTTGTAACAATGTTTTATTGTGAGTTATTCTTATGATGGTAACGGTTTGGCAAAACTAAGCCTTGGGGCTTTAGCTTATACCCTTTTCAGTTGCTGTCTGATGGATTCTTTTTAAAATATATATATTACTTTATTTTTTGTTTTTAAACTGAAATAAAGTAATCAGTCAGTCATTCATTCAAGTACAGAAAATTTGGCTTATTACTTATTAGATTATGTTGAGATTTCGGTAGAGGGTAAAGTCTACTGGTCATTTCTGATCTTAAGAAACACCCTGTGATAAAGTAATATATATTTTTTTTAATTTAATTTATTATGATGGATTTAGAAGAAAAGAAATTATCAAATTCTTGATCCTTAAGCTGTTTTTTTTTTTTACTGTTCAGAAACATTTTGGTTTCTCTTAAAGCTACAGTTTTAGTAACTTATGGTTCACCTGGTGGAAACTGTAATTAGAACGTTTGTCTGAAGGGTCAACGTGTTGAACTTCTAACCTGCAAAACTAAAACTGAACTCTGACTGGGATCACTTCAGGGGAAAATTGAAAGAACCGGATAACTATAAAATAAGTGAAGCTATTTATTGTGAATTTGTGGCAGAGAGGAGTTTTTATACTTTATTATTTTGCCTCCGGTCTATTTTCTGTCTTACTGTGTTTTATTGTTTCCCTCTGCTTTGTACTTGCTTTTCAAAGCTTGACTATAAATATACTTTTTCCTGGTTATATTATGAATGTCATAGTATTTGTTCACATGTAACTGTTGCCTTTAAAAAGACTCTAATGAACAAATTATAACAAGTATTTTAGAGTTAACAAGAACCTTAAAAGAAGAGTGTTGTAGCTTCTAATGTGCACATTAAGAGCTGATCTCACATATTGCCATGCAGTCCTACAGTTTGCCTGACATGTTTCAGAGGTGAGACGGCAATATCTGAGGCACCATTTTGTACTCGGGGATTATCAGATCTGCCTGGTTCCAACCCCAAAAAACACCTAAAATTAAAGAAAAATCTGCCTCAATCTCAACCGTTTTTTGTACTCTAAGAAATGCATGAAGAGGAACAATTCGTCTTTGATTCTCTTTAAAAATCAGGTGAAGCTCAGATTTCAGTATTAGTATATTTGGAATATGGATCATCATCTGGGACGGCATCAACCCACAATTTTCGCTCCATATCAGCCCCATCCATTTCTGAATATATATATATATACACTCACCGGCCACTTTATTAGGTACCCCATGCTAGTAACGGGTTGGACCCCCTTTTGCCTTCAGAAGTGCCTCAATTCTTTGTGGCATAGATTCAACAAGGTGCTGGAAGCATTCCTCAGGGAGTTTGGTCCATATTGACATGATGGCATCACACAGTTGCCGCAGATTTGTCGGCTGCACATTCATGATGCGAATCTCCCGTTCCACCACATCCCAAAGATGCTCTATTGGATTGAGATCTGATGACTGTGGAGGCCATTTGAGTACAGTGAACTCATTGTCATGTTCAAGAAACCAGTCTGAGATGATTCCAGCTTTATGACATGGCGCATTATCCTGCTGAAAGTAGCCATCAGAAGTTGGGTACATTGTGGTCATAAAGGGATGGACATGGTCAGCAACAATACTCAGGTAGGCTGTGGCGTTGCAACGATGCTCAATTAGTACCAAGGGGCCCAAAGAGTGCCAAGAAAATATTCCCCACACCATGACACCACCACCACCAGCCTGAACCGTTGATACAAGGCAGGATGGATCCATGCTTTCATGTTGTAGACTCCAAATTCTGACCCTACCATCCGAATGTCGCAGCAGAAATCGAGACTCATCAGACCAGGCAACGTTTTTCCAATCTTCTATTGTCCAGTTTCGATGAGCTTGTGCAAATTGTAGCCTCAGTTTCCTGTTTTTTAGCTGAAAGGAGTGGCACCCGGTGTTGTCTTCTGCTGCTGTAGCCCACCTGCCTCAAAATTCGACGTACTGTGCGTTCAGAGATGCTCTTCTGCCCACCTTGGTTGTAACGGGTGGTTATTTGAGTCACTGTTGCCCTTCTATCAGCTCGAACCAGTCTGGCCATTCTCCTCTGACCTCTGGCATCAACAAGGCATTTCCGCCCACAGAACTGCCGCTCACTGGATGTTTTTTCTTTTTCGGACCATTCTCTGTGAACCCTAGAGATGGTTGTGCGTGAAAATCCCAGTAGATCAGCAGTTTCTGAAATACTCAGACCAGCCCTTCTGGCACCAACAATCATGCCACGTTCAAAGTCACTCAAATCACCTTTCTTCCCCATACTGATGCTCGGTTTGAACTGCAGGAGATTGTCTTGACCGTGTCTACATGCCTAAATGCACTGAGTTGCCGCCATGTGATTGGCTGCTTAGAAATTAAGTGTTAATGAGCAGTTGGACAGGTGTACCTAATAAAGTGGCCGGTGAGTGTATATGTATATATATATATATATATATATATATATATATATATATATATATATATATATATATATATATATATATATATATATATATATATTAATAAAGATGCTAAGACTGACATAAGATCCGCAATTTACAATAAATAGACTAACAACATGATTGCAAATACAAATTTTATGGAAAAGATTGTCACTTTTCTGCAGCACAGTGGGAATAATCTTGATGAGCTCTACCATTATTTCTTTCTATTCCACAAATTCTGTGAAAACCAGCCCAAATTTTAACAATTGGCCCAGAATTATTTTTTTCAGCCCAACAGGTAAAACTGATTGTTCTTTTTTACTGATTTATTTTTTTCTTAATAACTCTCTGGCTGCACAATAACATTCCATGTTTTTTGAAATCACAGCTACAAAGTTGTTTACAACAGAATTTTTTGTGATAGGAGAAGGATTAATGTGTTATTGTGAAGTGTATGGAAACGGATACATGGTTCTCAAATAGTTAAACTATTCCCTTAAATTCTTCATTTATTTCAGGTCTAGACTTTGATCCAAATATTCTATTGTATCTGGTGGTTCAAGTTGTTCTGTTGAAGGAGAATCTTGGCTTTGCTCTGAAGACTTTTGTAGCCTTTTAAAATGTTTCTTAGCATCATTGCTATTTTTTCTTTGCACAGTTCGTCTCTAATAACGAATGAAAATCCCCTGAAATTTTAGCTTAATTAAAAAAATGCTTAACAACTGTTAAAAGGTTGTTATTTTCAAAAGGTACTTATAATCGGACAGAGAAACTCATTGGAGCAAATTCTGTAACGCATGCACGCATGCTGCATCCTAGGTGCACAAGAAGCGTTACTGCAGATCCTTCCGACTAATATAATTTATAACATGCATTGATCTTTTTAATAATTACCTTATTCATTTGCAAATGCCTTTAAATATGAGTATTCTAGCTTCAAGAACTGCACAGTTTTTCTATATTTTGCTTTAAATTTGTACCTAGTGTACAGCATCTTATCTGTACTTTCTGTTTTTTGATTTTGCCTTGGTGTGAATCTTCAGGTTTCTACATGTTGTTCACTTTGCTGATGGTAAATCCTCCTCGCTGAGAGATATTTCAGTTCTTTCTGTCTATTGTTGTTTTATTTCGTCTTGTTGATGTAAAGCCTCATAAAAATGCACCCTGTCTCATACTGACCAATTTTGAACTCGATGGGTAGAAGCCGTGGATCCTCCAAGATGTTTAGCCGCCTCTTCTTGCGCCAGCAGCGGGCTGGATATGTGTACAGCTGACCGGGAGCATGACCTGAAACACATGGTTTACATTGTTTTACTAAAAACAAAATTAACGTTTTTTGTTTTTTTTTATGTGGAAACTCAAGTTTAACAGTAAGTTGTAAACTCTCAACGCACATATTTCTTATGGCAGCCCCCAGCCAGCCTACAAACACAAGCACACAAGAGCATTCCTCCTAAGAGCAGTTAGTGCCAGCGGCACCTCGTCGCCTACAGGGGTGTCTGAATCACTGCCAAAATACATAGATGTTACAGAGAAAGAAGAAGCGCAGAGGAAATCCCCTTTGGGGAAAACTGGAGACATGGGAGGTGGAATAACGCCTTAGAAAGTAGAATGCGGGAGCAGAAATAAGGAAAGTTAAGGTAAGAAAAAGATAGAAATTAGTTGGAGAGAATAGTGTTTATTGGGGGTCTGCAACCTGTGGCTCCAGAGCAACATGTGGCCCCTCCAGCCCCCAAAAAAGCACTGATAGTTATGGTATATTCTATTTATTAGGTTAATAATTTCATTCGTTTTTAAAGGAAAATCTGCATTTAAATTATGAAAAAGGAACAGTTGTGATATAAACGACCATTCCACTTGTTCTTTGGTTATTGTTTCTATTTTAATTATTTTCTATCCCTTTTTTTTTTTTTTTTTTTGCTCTTCAGCTTAATAAACATTTAATGGTGGTTAATTTTTATCCATCTATTGAAACATTTATCCCTTCCTCTTTTGTTACAGTTTTCTTTTTTTCATATTAACAGGGGCCTTCAAATTTGTACATATTCCTTCTAAAATGACTTTTGAAGCCACGGAGAATCCTTTCCACCCGATTCCATCTGATCATATATGCTCTAAATAATTAAGTGAAAAAAAAACACATCAGTTAGGACGAAAATATAAAACCTAAACAGTGCGATAACTTGCCTGCATAATGATTCCAAAACCTTCATCTATTCCTCTCTGCAAAACTGTGTCCATCCATGACAAACTCTTCGAAACATCCATCCATCCATCCATCCATCCATCCATCCATCCATCCATCCATCCATCCATCCATCCATCCATCCATCCATTTTCCATCACACTTTATCACAGCTGGCGTCTCGTGGGGTACTGGTGCCTAACTCCAGCTGTCTAGCAGGGTCCACCCTGGACATGCTGCCAGTCCATTGCAGGGCAACACAGAGACAAACAGCTCAACCAACCATTCACACACACACCTAAGGAGAATTTAGAGAAGCCAATTAACCTAACAGTCATGTTTTTGGACTGTGGGAGGAAGCCGGAGTATCCGGATTTTTCAAAACAAGAGTTTATAAAAACAGTTTTCTCTTTTTCTGAATGCTCAGGTAAGTTATTAGGTTTAAGAGTATTATTATTTTGTAGGACTGGGTGTAAAAATGTCTGCAAACCAACAGGCAACATACATGAAGAACGCTTACACACACTCATACACACCTGGTCCACGGTGGTTCTTCTCCATCCAGATGTAGCAGTTGCTCTGAGCCACGCCGGTCTGGGAGTCCAAGAAGGGAAGCCGCATGGAGCGCTCCGCACACAGACGTGCATTGTAGCTGCGACAGTGTTCAATGGCCTCCTTATAAAACTCCTCTCCGAGGCTGAAAGCCAACACAGAGAGAGGGGAGGTGAAGGGGGGAGTTCACAGGTGAGGGAAAAGGAAAAAACACACCGGATTTTTTTTTTCAACAAACAGGAAGAGTTTGACCATGACTTTCAGGAACATGCAGAGGACAGGTTCATATATGTGTGTGTGCTCAGGCTTCATGTTGCACCTATAGAGAGCATGTGTGTAAGTAAAAGGGGTTGCCGTGGAGATGTCCAGTCCTATCTGCAGACAAGCTGGCAGCTACAACCAACACTTCCATTCTCGTACAGTAAAACTCTACTGCACAGTAGTTCTCCTCCACACTGCTGTATTTTCTCACCCGTAGAAGTGAGAGTTTGATTAACATTCACTGTAATATCCCCCCCCACCCCCTCTCCACCTACCTGTTCTTGATGACTGCACCTCCAGATTGCCTGCAGGGGGAAGGCAGAAGAAAAAGAAGAAGAAAAAAACACAACAGATGTGTGGTGAGTCACTCAGTTCACCCCACCCCAATTTTCTCCACATTTTGTTTAGCTTTCCAACACTTCGCCTTCACTTTCTTTCCCCCCCTCATTGAAATGTTGCTTTCCATGTTTAACTTTCACACAGTCCCTCTCTCTGTACTTCTTTCCTCTTTTTTTTATTTTATTTCATTATTCTTCGCACTTCTCTCTTTTTTTTTCTCCCTCTCCTGTTAATCACTCCTCTCCAGTGTCTTCCTGCTGAGTGCAGCCATCAAGGTCACTCAGCTACACAGACTGTAGATACAGGACACACAAAAACCACACACACACACACACACTCACTGTGTTACAGTGCAGAAGCAGAGCCAAAAGCGGCCTCACAAAAAATAGAACAGAGAAGCTGCTGGTAGCAATTTGTTCACATTTTTGAACTTTTTCTTGTGCCATCGCCAAAGAAAAAGACTGACTGATTGATTTTTACACAAAAAGATTTCACTGCAGATGTGGATGTGTAAAAAAAAAAACTATATTTGGCTGCTCAGGGTGTGGTAAAAGTTATAAAGAAAACCTGAAAGGAATTAGGATGAGAGATTCTATGGCATTTTGGGAGACGAATGAATGTGGTTAGTGTTTTTGAATGGTGCTTTGTTTGTTTTTTACTTGTTTTTGTCACCATTTAAGGTGTAAGATCTTAATATTGTACAAATAATAACAGAAAATAAGTCTGCAGATAATGATTTAATTCCTTAAGGAGAAAAAAGCTCGCATTAAGTCTAAAATGTACCCCCCGCCTAAACCTGATAGAGCTAGAATTTATTTTTCATTTATTTTTCATTATTTTACGTCAGTGTGGACCAGCCAGGCTAGATTAGATGGCTTTTTCCTCTTAATAATAAATGAAATGAATGATTTAAAAACTTTTTTTTTATTTACTCTTGTTATCTATGACAGACTTTTAAATTGCTTCAATAATCTGAAACATTAAACATGACGAAACGGCCTAAACAGAAGAACGTACAACAGGGGGAAATATTTTTTCACGGCTCTGTATCTGTGATAGCAGCAGAAACTGAATCATAGGGGAAAAAAACAAACACAAAACGTTTATTTATTCTTTAAGGGAACAAAAGCGAGAAGAATGTGCTCCAAGGAATAACTAACTTGTTAAACAGAAACACAAAGGAATGCCTGCTGTAGGAGCTTGCTAAAGACTTCAAGAAATATTTTGACATGCAATCAACAAAGAAGCAAAAGAGGATCCTGTGTATCAGCTCAGACCTCTGCAAAAACGATCTAGAAATAAGTACAAATTTCTTAAATTAAGTGTATTGACTCTTAATTTAAGTAGGTAAATGAGATAGTTTGCCAATGGAATGAGTAATTTTACTCTTAAAATAATATAATTAGATAAAATACACTTGAAATAAGACAATGCAATTGTGTTTTCTTATTTTAAGTGTAAATTGTCTTGTTCCAATTGGCAAAATGTCTCTTTTACCTCCTCAATTCAAGAACAAATGCACTTATTTTAAGAAAAAATGACTTATCTAGATTTCGATTTTTTGCAGTGCCGGTGTTTCCAAATTATCTGTATCAGAGCAACTGGCTGCACTACTACTGTAAGTTTTATTATTAGTGCTTACAGGGTGCTTTTTGCTGAAAAAAACATGCTTGAAAAAAAAAGTTGGCAGAACTTAAAATGTTAAGGCAACAAACTGCAGAAAATGTTTAAGTTTAGGACTTTGAAGGTATAATTGAGAATTTTTGTGAATTTTTTAAAAGACCTGTCCTCTCCACAAGCACGGTACCTGCTCCTGAGAGTGATTGCTTATTTAACACGTGCAAGGGCGTGCATTAGAGCATGAAACGGGCCTTGAAAGTCAGCCCGAAACCGACCCGAGTCCAAAAGAACCAGGCCCGTGCCCGGCCCGGCCCGTTATGATTGACAGCTTCGTAGAGCCTGACCCGTTTGCAGCCCGACATTTTTCAATTGTGCGCATATCACAATCAGTCAAGAATGAATCATTTTTGCTGTATATTTTTACTATTTTTATTCAGAATAGTTAGCCTAGATGTCTGAACAAGAACTTAATTATAGGCTTAAATATATTCTCTGACCAAGGAAGTTAAAAGAAAAAATAACAAGCATCAACAAAAAAACAGCGCTATTTTATCTTAACATGACCCACGCGAGGCAAGTAAAAATCTTGCGCTTGATTAATCTCCTGTAAGCCTATGCTACATTTTTATTATTCTTTATTCAAAGTAAGCCCACAGATGTCTGAACAAGTAGGCTAGGCTACTTCTAGGTTAAAATAAATCTCTGACCAGGGAAAATCAACAGCATTGCAAAAAATAAAAAATAAAAGTAAAATAAACCGTAAGATTAATCTTCACCACAATCACCAAATTAGAATAGGCCTAGTCTAGTTTTTGGGTGGGGGGAGTCCGCCTGGGGGCTTGGTTGGTGCCGTCGGTTCGTCCTTGTCGGCCTTCCGGTGTTGTTTCTGTTGGGGCTGCTCGGGCCCCCGCATGCCGGCGGTGCGCTGCCGGGGGGATTCCTGTTCGGCGGGCTTGCCTGTCTCCTGGGAGGGCAGGCATGTTGACTTTTCTGGGGAGGAGCATCTGGGTGGAGGGGTCCTCGTGGTGTGGCGGTGGGTGTTGGGCACTGGCTTGTTTGCGGCCGTTCTTCTCCGGTGAGGGGGAGAATATTATAATTTTTTTGTTTTTGTTTTTGTTTGTTTTTTGTGTGGGAGGGGGTGTGTGGGCGGGGGGATCGGGGCTTGGAGTGGGGCTCGGGATTTGCGCTTAGCTGTGTTGTGTGGCTTTCTTCTTCTTCGGATTGGTGCTGTGGGACCGGTGTTGGGGGGAGTCGTTCGGGGGCCGGGGTCGGGGTGGGGGTGCTGGCGCCGGTGCCGGGGGTTTTTGGGCATTGCCCGGCCCTACTGCGGGGTGGGTCTGGGGTGGCTCCTTGGGCCTGGGATCCCTGGGGCGCATTGCCCTTGGGCGGGGTCCCCGGTGGGGGTTCGGGGGTTCGGGTTCTGTGGGGAGTGCTGCTTGGGTTCTGGGCCGGTGTACGCCTGGCTGTCTGTCCCTGCTGCCACGGCCTCTGGTGTGCCGGGGTGCCTCGGGGCCTGCTGGGCTGGGGGGGGGCATGGACATTAACACCTATGGCAAGTGCTTACCCCCTCACGGGTTTGCACTCTGTAAGTGGGGGAAGGGGAGGGAGGGGGAGTAGGTATGATCTCGGCCTGGATGTCTTCTGTCGCTTGTGTGGTGAGTAGCTTGATTGTTATTGTAGGGGAGGGATTACATCTCCGGAGGGGGGTGGGGGGGT